CACCGAGGTGGAGTTCAGTTTCCCGTGGGTTGGGGATCCCTTCCTACCATACTAAAGGTAAGTACGTTTGTGGCATTTTCTTGATTCATGACGTTGAACTTTCGGAGTGCATGGCATGGGAGACAAACGGGTTGGTGGTAGGTCTGATTCTGGCTCTTCACGGCGGCCAGAAGGACCTAACCTACCAGCCGACATTGCTGGCTTGGATCGGGCATGCTGGGGGAGCTATGGGGGAATTCTTTCGACAATGGGCCACCACTTGCTTGGTAAGACAACGGGACGGTTTACTATTAGCAAAGTACGGAACTCAGATCGAAAATCGTGGTCCTGGCGCTCTCATCCGGAGCGAGAGCACAAGGCTGCAATTTTGAGAAGGCGATTCTCGGCTCTCACACGTGTTGAGACTACGAAGCTACGGAGCACGAAGATTCTGGGCTCTTGTGTGGGTTAGGAGCGTGTCTGTTTTTCGGGGTGCAGATGAACATGGAGCTCGCACTCGGGGGTTGGCTCCGGAGAAAGTCTGTTTACTATGCACCAGATGGTAGAAGATTAGCGTCGATGTTCAATGGCATTCTACAGCGACGTGTACAATCCCCCCGGCTTGCCCTCATTCGTGTGGCTGACTCCGTGATATGCAGTAACAAGAACTCTTGCAAGAGCTGAAGGAGAAGCTCGGATGGACGACGGAGACTTCAGCCGAGCGCCAGTGGCAGCTCTAGCGCGCACCGCCACTGCCCCTCCAACACAACTTCAATCGCGGGGTACTCTTCCAGACCAAACACGCCAGTCTCAACCTCACTCCACCGCAAAAATGTTCAAAAAGGACATTACTCCGGGCGCGAAGTCCAAAGTCAAGTCCTCAGTGCAGAGAACAATCAGGTCCAAAGTGTTGGAGCAGTACCCGCTGCTCGAACCTTACATCGAAGACATTCTGCCCAAGAAAGAGCAGCTTGATCTCGTGAAGCTGTGCGTCTTTCCTCGAAATGTCGTTCCGTCCATGTAGATGCTAATAGCGGTACGACGTTCCAGACCGGACAGAATAGCCCTGTATGCGCTAGGCACGACGCCCCTCTTCTTCCAACACATGGACGACCCGCTGCTCCCCCACCTAACCCTCATCCACCGGTATCCCCGCTGCTTCCCGACGCTCCGTATCGATCGCGGCGCAATCCGCTTCGTGCTTTCCGGCGCTACGCTGATGACGCCCGGTCTGACGTCACCCGGCGGACGCCTGCCCAACGACCCCAACGATGCGGAGGGCAGGTATGGAAAGAAGGAGTTGGAGGCGGGCGAGGTGGTGGTTATCGAGGCCGAAGGAAAAGAGCATGCATGTATGGTGGGGGTGCTCAAGGTGGGCACCGAGGAAATGAAGAGGGTTAAGAAAGGGCAGGCCTGTGAGGCAGGGCATTATTTGGGAGATGGGCTTTGGAGTTTGTCTTTGGGGTGAGAGGATGGTGGGTGGGGCTGAGCGAAGGCTGAGTGAGATGCCATTCATCGATGGCAGGCCGCTTATAATGATGATGCCGGCAAGCGTAGATCTTGTACAGGAAGAAAATGGATGGAATGGGCTCGTTGTGACGGTGGCAGGTATCCGCTGCGCCGCCCTGCCCAGCGGATGCCACTTCAGCGAAAGACATGGGTAAGGATGGACCGATGTATGAAATGCAGCACGTCAGCGTCCATCGAAGTCCAGTCATCAGCGTGAAAAATGGTATCATTGCACCCATCTAAAGTCATCAATGCTATCAACGAGCTACTCAGCCCACAGACTGCTGGGTCTTAACTACTAGACTATGATGGTCCTGCTCCTCGGCCAGCACCACCACCACCCATGAAGTTTCGTGCCCTGCGCTCTATTAGTTGCTGCTACGATCATCGTTTCGAATTTGCGACTTACATCTCTGCAATGTTAGGGTCATTCATCATCGCCGAAAGATCTGGGAGTCCACCACCTCCACCTCCCCTACCTCCAGCTCCGCCTCCCCCTCCGCCTCCGCCTCCGAGCCCCTCCATCATCTGCGCGACCTGCGGATTGCTCATCATGTTCCTCAGCATATCTGGGTTCTGCATGACATTCTGAGCCATCTGCCGAATCATAGGGTTCTGCATCATAGCGCCAATATCTGGCATACCACCACCGCCGCCGCCGCCACCACCACCGCCCAGCATTGATGCCAAACCCGAGAGATCAGGCATGCCTCCTCCACCGCCAGGGGCCCCGCGCGTAGCCTCTGGGGCGCCGACATCACCACCCTCGTCCTCATACTTCTTCTTCGCTGTCTCGTAGCCCTTACGCATGACTTCTGAACCCCCGCCTTCGGCATCCATACCCGCTTTGTAGGCATCCATGGCGCCCTTCGCGTCGCCCAGAACGTATTTGGCGAGACCAAGTCGTGACCACGCCTTGGAGTACTTTGGATCGGCAGCGACTGCCATCTCGGCGTCCTCCTTTGCCTCCTGGTGCTTGCCCTGGCCCGAGTATGCGGCGGCGCGGTTGGACAGGTAGATGGGATTGAGCGGGATGACGTCGAGCGCGGCCGTGTAGTGCTTTATAGCCGATGCATAGTCCCTCTTCTTCATTGCCTCGTTCCCTAAGCCCTTCAACCTCTCAGCCTCATCCTTGTTCGGGCCGCCTGGGCCTGGTGCTTCTCTGGATGGCGTCTGCGGGGTTGCGGGCCGCGCCTCGGACGCCGACGACGAGCCCTCTGTGGACGCAGTCGTCTTGCCCTTGAGCTTCTCGTAGACATTATATATGGAGAGCAGGTTCTGGCCGCCTAGCGCATCCTTTTTGGCGGCTTCGTCTGCGAGGTCGACTTTGAATGCTTCGGCGATGCAGTTGGCGGCCACTTCGAGCTGCTCTGCGTCTTCGGCTTCTACCGAGCCATCCGTCTGTGACATTTGAAGGAAGTCGAGGATTGCGAGTGCGAGGCGCTTCTTCGACTGGGGAGATGCCTGCCGCGGTCAGTATGGGGTCGAGGACGGGGCTGGAGACGTGGATGTGGATGCAGACCATGGCGGCAATTGCTGTATGTGCTTTGGGTCGGTCGGCCAACGAGATGTGATAGGGAGTTCCTTTATATATGAAGGCGCCAGTCAAACGCTTTCACAGACGTGGTGCTACAAAATGCTGATTTCGACCTGAAGCTCGAGTGGCGGGCGGGACATGGGCCCGGCCCAGGCTTTGCGCACGTGACGACCGTCATGCCGCATGCATTCAATCCCATGCATGTGTGCATCTCTTGAGGAGCTTGAGCCTCAAGCGATATAGCAGCGATACTCGCATTACAATGCTGACGCATATATGCTACATGCTACTTTTACAGTGCCGCCTACATAATACAAATCTGAAGCCGAGATGCTGGTATCTACAAAGAGGTCCAAACCCACAGAATCACGCCGTGTCATCGCTTAGGCCCTCCCATGCCTTCTTTTCCGCCTTCTTCGGCCAGAGCGACGTAACCAATGACTCTCTGGTCTCAATGGGCACCTGCTTTGCCCGTTCCTCTGTCTCGGCGTCCAGTGCGAATCTCTTCATACGCTCTCCGATACGCCAGTCGATGACCATGTCATCTAACCATACTCTCTCCCTATCGTCGTCTTCTTTGCGTTCGCGTGCCGATTTATGCCATTCCGACTCATCAAAACGCAGCATCCCTGTTTGCTCCCACTCGGACTGAGCAGTCTCCTCATCGCCGATAATGGCTCCAGGTTCACCTGGCGGGTGGTAGGGCCTGTACGCTCCGAGCACGGCAGCAGCCGTCTCTCTCCCAACTTCGTCTGCTAGCCATCTCCGGTTCAAGAAGCGGTACATGCGTATGGGGAAGTTCCAGAAGCCGAGGAGATGTGGGAAGGGGACGACCGTCGAAGGGCCAAGCGCGCGTGGGCAGTTTGGTGATATTTGAGAGTCGGCGTAGTCGGCGGTGGTGTTGAATGGCGGTGGCTGTGTTTTCTTCTTGGGCTTGTTCTCCTCCTCTTTCGGCTTGGGCGCTTCTTCCGACTTGGATGCTTCCGGATAAGCGCCACCGTCGTCCGCTGTCGAGGGATAGGCGGACGTAGGAGACTCCGCCGGAGGTTCTGATGTGGGTGCTGCAAGTGCCACAGGCTCCTCCACCGGCGTTGGTGCATCCAAAGGCCCCAGCCACCCCTCGTGCAGGCCCCTAACGTACTCTTTCCACGTGTGCCTCCCAATGACCAAGTCTCCTCCAGGACCATGCCAGTCTCTTATGCCCGCCCTCAGCCTCGTCTCCTCCAAAATAGCCTGCGCATCGATTTCCAGCGGCTCCGCACTGGGCTCACCCCTCTTCTTTCTCAATGCGCGTATCCTCTCGGCCAGCCCAGCCCTCACATCGCCCTCTCTCCTCCCCTCAATTGCATCCCAGTCCAGCGCGGCGGCAACCAAGATGGGCTGCACGTACTCCCTGAAATGATCGCGCGCAGACACTAGGCCATCCGCCGGAGGCGCTGAAAGGTACACTGTGACTTTCCGGGGCATCTGGCGCTCGTCCAGCGGCTCTTGCGCGATGTGTTCGACAAGCCTTGTCCATTTCTGTTGTATGCGCTTCTTCTCGCGGCGATCGTAGATTACGGCGGCCGTCCAGGAGCCCGTTATGCCGAGGAAGATCATCCAGTTGCGGGAGGGGAGCTTGAAGCGGAAGTTGGGGAGGCCTGGGGCGAGTTAGATACACATTCGAATGCAGGTCTGCTGGATGACTACACACCCATCATCCGCCAGACGGGATTTGGAGGCTTCTGCGGCTTTGCAGAGGCCGCGCTATTTGGCGCCGTCTTCCCCTGTGTGTCGACCATCTGATATTGTGACGGGCAGGCGTTGATGCTGGAGCGACGCCTGCGGAGCCAAAAAAAAAAAGTTTGGGAGCGGACTGCCGAAATCCTTCTCCCAACGAATGCCAAGGCCGCGAACATAAAATGCCCGCGTCCCCACCGAAGCCAAAATCTACGAAACCCAGCACCCACCCACACCGGAGAGATGCAGAGCATGGTATCATCACCGTGGGTCGAACACGGGCTACCACGGCCTTGCCTCACGGCCACAACGTGGTGTCCTACCACTGGATTATGACGACGTTATTGATTTGGAGGTGTTAGGAGGTTTAGCTAAAATATGTATCTTCAAGAAAGTATGCGGTATCTTCGCCCACTACGTTTGTCATTACGTAGCCATTTCCCACCGTTTGCCATCAGTGGCGGATTCATTATGCCAGTCCCCTATAAGCCAAGATATATGCTCGGTTTCACGTCCTTACATCGTAAAGAGAGATCATAGGGACCTATTCAAATGATGCTCTAATGATAGACCCAGTAGAAGACGGGAAAAGGCAATGACGCCTACTGCCATTGGTAAAGCGCTTTCTTTCGGTTTGAGATAACTCCAGCAACCCGCGAGTGCGTTCATACCTCTGGTACCAATAATGCATATGCGTAAATATCCCGCCGCCTGATAACCGGTAATTTGCAGATGAAACTAGACAAAATCCAGGACGATTCTATATCATACCGTGCTAAAATAACCGCACTGCAGTTGGGGCTTATAACAAACACTGGAAGATGCGGCGTGTATCCTTTCCATTGAAAGAATTAAGATTTGAATGTGCTTTAGTCCAATGGAATTGCCAACCCTGCAATGGATTGCGTCTCGATTTCCCGTTCCGTAGACCTGGCTCTTAGGGCAGGGAATTCTTGAAAATTCTTGGGAATTCCATTGTCCCTATTCGACCTATATCGAACCTCTTGACAACGCTGTGTACTACAACGCAAAATATATCCTAAGCACCCTTAGGTGTCTACTATATGCACTTTTTCAAGAACCATATACATATAGGTAGAGTTTGCTTATTTTTTTAAGAATTACTGACCACAGCAGCCTGGGTCACACCATGATTCAGGGAATCACATGCTCGAGTGATGCGGTTAGTACCGAATGAGGCAAGCGTGGTACGCGACGCGTCGATGGCGGAAGCGGGCCCGAAGCTCTTCGGATGTTTATTCCCACGGCTGCTCTGAACCCCATGCATCAATACACGAACCCGTGCCAACCATGAAGCGCCAGCAAGAAGACGCCGTAAAATCCGCACCAACAAATCGAGGCCGGGGCCGCCCGCGGAAAAATCCCGACGCGCCTCCCCCATCGCCCAAAGACCCCAGTGCGCCCAAGAGAGGTCGAGGAAGGCCACGAAAAGACCCAAATGCATCACCTCCACCCAAAAAAGGTCCAATGGTTCCTGGTCGCGGCAGAGGACGTCCTAGCAAAGCGCCTGGCACTTTTGTTACCACACCCACTGCTCCAGACGCTCCGAAAGATAGTGATGGTTCGCTAGAGGCCAATAGCATCGTGGCCACCACCCCGAAAACTGCCAATATGAGCCATCTAGGACGTGGTCGCAGTATTAACGCCGGTGGTGCTGCCAGTCCCCTTCTAGTCCTGGAGCTTAAAGACATCATTGGCACCTACGAGGTCGGTTGTGACGAGGTGGTCCGCAACTGGCCCAAAGCCCAAAGTATGAGCATCTCTATCAGCGCTCTACCCAATACCCATTCAGCCCTCGTCGCTGCATTCAGCCTTGGCATCTTAGAAGGCACTATGCTTCTCGCCGCGGACAAGGACACTCTTGAGCGTGTTCGCCGCCAACTACCCAAGCCCGATAATGCTGGCAAGTCACCTACCCCGGATCTGAAGTCTCGAACCGTATACTTCACTTGGCGTGGCCGCAGCATTGGCGGCGATGACGAAGTCCATCTAGGTGCCGACGGTTCGCAAACTGGCATCCTCAAATTCAAGGGCACCCTCGACGGGAATTACAACTTCAAATTCAAGGGTGTGGGGAGCTTCCCTCGTTTGGGCTCGGAATGCGGATTTAGGGGCGTAAAGATCTTTGGGGAGCCGGAAGAGGAGCCTGAGCCGTGGGATAGTTTCTCAGGACCCTTTTGAGGAGGTAAACAGGCAAAGCGGGATCACAGTGCCTCGACTGAAGTCTGGATACGCTTTCCACTATATGATTAGTGAAACTTTCAACAGACTTTTCGCCTGATCCTTAGGACGTAGGGATTACAAGCTCTTGTTTCAGGCCACTTCTTTGTCGCGGAGGACTGTTTCGATTCGGTAGATATTCCATGTACGCAGCCAATGTGTCATAAGTAAACAGAGTTCATCCCCACGCACCAGCAGATCGTCCAAGTCGTGAAGGATGAGGATTTGAGATCGCACAAAACCCGGGAGGTGTCCAGGATTAAGCGTTCTTGGTCTTGGTCTTAACCACTTGTCTCCAAGAGGTAAGAATTGCGTCGGAATTCTGACCAGGCCGCAGCGTCTAGTGTAAGACACGAGGTGCCGAAACCGCATGGATTTAGTACAGTGTCGTTCTGGGAACCGAGTGGCGTAGTGGCACAAACCGTGGGGGGGCCAGCGCAGAGCGCTCGAGCTGCCTTACCACGGGAGTTAGCGCGTGTGGTCTTGATCCCCTTATCTTCCTCACCTCATTCAATTCATCGAATCCGACCCTGGCTCTTCTCCGGCTTCGCCAGGCTCAACACTGAAAGAAGGGTGAATTTGCGACAGACGCTCTTTTCGTCTCGTGCCAAGCATCCTCGACGGTTATCGGCACCTGTCCTAGGAAAGACATGGGCCGATTGGCGTCAAAAGACCCATTGGCGAGCTGACAACGCCATTCTGCGCATTCGCATCGCGACAATTTTGACCAGGTTCCGGATCCCCAGCCCGTTGCTGCTGACAGAAATTCCATTTTCGAACTTAGGAGGGGCACCATCGACTGCTGGACGCCATGGCGTTGCAACGAAATTTGCCGATACCCAGGTCCAATTGCAAATGCAAATTGGTCGTAACGCCTGCACCTATGGCAGTTTAGTGCAGAAATCAGAATACGAGCCGTGAAATATCCCGATCAGCCCCCGTCTTCAGGGGCCCGTTTAGGCCTCCTGCCTTCCTTGGCTGTTGGCGCGTTGCCACCTGCTGCCGTGAATCCGACTGCCTCGTCTCTTCGTCGCCATTTATTTCAACCCTGTCCGCGCGCGTTGTCCCCTTTGCGTCGCGCAGCTTTTCAGCCATTCCACTCTTTTACTATACCTGTATTATCTGTCTTGTATTTTCGTATAGACCGAATCGTCCGGCGCTAGGCTAGCCATGATAGCCTTGAGTATCAATCACAAGCGTACCATCACAGCGGCGGTGCTGGCCACGCTCGTCACTATATGCCTGGTTCTCGGCCTACGAACGACATCTTACGACCCTGTATCGCTATGGAAGAGTGGGACACACAAGGGCGAGCGACTCGCCTATGCCTTGCTCATGGCCAGCACCGTAGACCAAAGCGAGGATCTCGAGAACGACTACTACTTTGTCGCGACGCGTATTGTGATCTGGCAGTTGTTGCATAACCCAGCCACTAAAAGCACCAATGGCGCTGACGTCTTCGTCATGGTGACCCCGGACGTCTCTGAATCCCGCATCAACCGCCTCAAGAAGGATGGCGTCAAAATCCGTCCAGTTGAAGTCGTGCACACGCCAAACGATGCCTGGATCAAACCCCAACAGCCCCGCCTCGCCGCCATGATGGCAAAGATACGCCTGTGGGAGATGACCGAGTACAGTCGCATCCTCTTCCTCGACAGCGACTTCGTCTTGCGAAGCTCACTGGACGGTGTTTTCGATGACCCAAACACCAAACGCGTGCGCACGCTGGACAAGGCAATGTCCAATTTCACTCAACTCGAGGGCGAAGCGCCGCTGCCAGAAGCCTACCTCCTGGCCTCCCTATCAGAGACCTCCGACTCTAACCATGATTTTCCTCCCACCAACCTTAATTCGCCAGAGTACATGAATGGTGGCTTCTTCATGTTGGCACCGGATCTCGTCATGTTCGAGCACATGAAATCAATCATGGACATCGAGCATTCGTTCAACGAGAGGTTCATGGAGCAGTCGCTCATCAACTACGTACATAGAAAAGAGGGCCCAATGCCGTGGCAGGAGACGAAAGAGCAGTGGTGTATCCGGTACCCGAACGAAAATGATTTTGAACAGGGACTCGTGAGCATGCATGAAAAGTGGTGGACGCAGCCGTACATCTACGATAATCAGAAGGTGAAGGATTTTCTCAGGGCGGTCAGGTGGGAGATGAAGGGTTGGTACGACGGGCGCGAGTCTGTAACCGACGTGTGAAAGACTACACGATCCACCGATTCAGATAAGGAGAAGGGTCCTAGCGCAGGTCGCAGTTTCTGAGGCGAGCTCGCCCATCGACCCGGTCGCACCGCCAATTCCACCCGCTAAACACGAGCAGTTGTCGGGGGCGCATGTGCGTGATCGCTTTGGCAAGAAGGGTCTTGCAATACGTCGCTTCTAGCGACCAGGAGCCTGCTTGTAGAGTTAGAGGATTCTCAGCATGCCGGCGATCGGCGATGATGATGGAAAGAAGATGTCGTGTCTCACACTATTGGCTCACGGCGGCGACGTATGGGTTCCACCTTTAGCTGTACGAATTTAGTGGTTGTGTTCCAAATTCATTTTTGCCTCTGCTTCGCTTATTTTCCCGGACTACTAGTCAGACGGATAGCCGTTTTCAAACCTTGTCTTGTGTCACCGTTGAGCTTTCAGATGCCGAGCGTGCAACTTCAGTGGTTTTGAGACCCTTTTTCTCATCGTGATCGACTGTGCCTTCTGTGCCTTCTGTGCCTTCTGTGTCTGTTCTATCGACACCACTGCGCTTTAGTCGTGGATGACTCTCATCACTAATATCTAGCAGACCCAACAGCTCTCCTTCCTCGGTGATTGGGACTTCTTCTATGCAACGAGTCCATGTCCCAAGACTTAGCTCTTCGAACGTAAGACGCTGAAGTTGCAATGTAGAATTTGCATGCCATTCGAGTCGGGAGTAAGTGTGTCGTGGATTCTTGCGCCGTTTGTCGATATATGTCAGCAAAGGCTCAATAGTGAGATCAAGTGTAATGATGAGGGTGCCGATGACGAGGATGATACTGAGTCCCAGGACGTTAAAGGAGTAGTATAACCCGCTGAAAATTTTCTAGTCCACGTCAGTCCTCGTCTACGCGA